ATGGACACAGGGGTCAGTCCCAAAGAGCGCCCATGGACGTCCATGGACAGTCCCATGGGCATAGTCCCATGGGACTTGCAGAGGTCTAATAAAGATATTAATCCAGGTATAATTTATATGTTTCTAGGACTCTTAGTAGAGATTAATATAGTAATATTTTTAATGCTCGGTATAAGACTTGTATGAATTAGGATAGAGATCATTTCACATAATAGTTCCGTAGTCGGTTTTGACCTAGTGCTATAGGGATAAAATAGAATAATTAATATCTCTAGGAATGTGGTCTTCTATTGGGATTTATTTTAAGGCTTTTTATATATTAATATTAATATTGCAAATTGCTCTTAGATAATCTCTAAATCAATAGTTTCACGTGTTTTAAGATAATAAATGAGGTCTTTTTTTGTCTATTCTCTTAGTATTGATTCTTTATATATAGAATAGATATTCTTAGCAATTTTACTAGGTTTATTGGTACTAATATATATATTATTAATATAAAGATGTATGATTAATTAGTATAGATATAAAAACAAGGCTTTCTTAAAATTGATAAAGTCCTATTTCTTAAAGTCCTGTTTAAATATAGTCTATAATAATATATTATACATATTCTTATATAAATTATATTTTATAAGGATATAGGCCTCAAGCGCCTTATAGTCCTTTTTTTCTAGATTGAAATCCGCGTTGGTTAGGTTAGGCATTGTTATTTCTTAATATTTAGGGTTCAATATCAAAGATGGTAGATAGTTTGTAAGTAAGCTAATACATATAAATTAAAGATCAGAATAGAGATCTGATCTATATACTAATTAGTATTAGTTTATCCAGTCCAAGATCAGCTCAATTAGATTAGGAAAGGCTAGTCTGATAAGCCTATAAGGTGAGGCATAAAAGGGTCAATATTTGATTCCTAATTCATGTCTAATTCCTATGAAAGAGGATACTGGGGGTCTGGTGATATATAAATAATGCGTACGTGCTTTGGTAAGGAATAACCATTCCCCGAAGCACGTATGGTAGGTGCGGAGTTGCTAGATGCCGGGGTCAGATATCCGGGGTTGATATTGACGTTCCGACAATAAGTCTATCTATAAGATAGCTATATTTATACTTATTTATTAGATTAATTCTAATATAATATACTCTAAAAATCCTACTACATATATTATAAGATCTTTTTTAATATAAAAGTCTTACTATTATATATTAACTTATTATTACTCTTTAGACTAGGGCTTTATACTTAAAAGCTTAAGAACTAAGATACTTCATTTATCTAAGGATCTATTAAGTAAAAAAAACATATTAGGTATATTAAAAAGACGTAGCTTCTTATA